AACTAAACTAATACTGAACTTTAAACTTATATATTTTTATATTTACCGTATTTTAAGGGCCTCTATGCAATACTCATGCTGTGTTAAAAATCAGGTTCCTAATTTTCTGTGACTTAACTGTCTTAAGAAACCGAAAATCTTAACACGACTAAAAATTCCTTATATCAAAATTTACAGAAATTATACAATTTCTGTGAATATGAAATCAACTAAAACTAAACAGCTTTTATATCCTAAAAAGCTAAACTGTATTTTCAACAACATATGCATTTCTACTTTATATGCGTAACACGTATTCTTCCAGTATTTGGATACTACCCCATCTAAATGAAGTATTTCTTCTTTTCTTTCAAGGAGAGCGCACCATAAACCTGACGTTTTAACCAAAAATCACAACCCAAACCAAATTCAACTGCACAGGTTACAGCCAGCCTCCGAGGTTTGAAGGGGGTGAGGGTAAAGATCTTAATCCACCGTCCAAATACAAAGTTTTAACCTGAACTGATGTCAGGTTATAACTTTGAAACTGTCGTCGATTTGCCAGTGGCAGAAAAGCCCAAGCTGACCCGCGGCCGGGGAGATCCTCGGCGGGCAGAGCGCTCTGGCTCCTGAGCCTCCGCAAGCGCCCGCCACATCCAGGGAGCCGCCGCAGCGACTTCACCAACCAAATGGAAAACCTAAGGAACCATGAAAACGAACCGTAGCATCCCCGAAACATCCCCTGCAGACGTTTGCCGTCCGCTGCTTAAATACCCACAAGGAAAGAGCTTTCCTATCTGCATTAGGTGCCTGTTACAGTCTTTTTCATCTTAACATTCAACAAAAATATTTCTTCTCGCAAATAAAGCTAATCCTTTCCTTCCCACAGGAAATATCCAGAAAAACTGATACACATTTTTTGTTGTAGCAATTGTTTAGATATTAGAAGGGAGAGTTCCTTCCTCAGATTTCTTTTATTTTAGACCAGGAACCTCAGTTCCTCCTTTTTTTTTTTTATATACAATGTTACCTATGTTTCCATTTAGGGGAATTTACCTATTTCTTTAAAATGTGTTGTCCAAATTCACCAGCATTTTATAGAATAATTACTTTCACGTCTAATATAACAAATTCCTGCTAACCCTTAAGTGAGTTTTGCTTTTTGCAATAGTATCAAGTTGCTCATCTCCGTGCAACCACATTTTTTTTTTCTCCCCTCACTGCACCTTGCAGGATGAGGCTTACTTCTCATGCACTTCATTTGCCCTCGGGTTTGGTATTTCACGTTTATTCCTACCGGATTTGAGTTGCTGCTCGCGGATCACCTGTGCAGTCTGCCTCGTTATCCTGACTTCTGAGCACATCTCCCCGTTTGTGAGTGCCGCCCGTCCACGCAGCACCCCCGCAGCCCTCACACTCACTCCGTATTCCAGCAAACACATTAATGGATATTCTGAACCAGGACCATGACCTAACTTCGGAAACTGTACTGGAACAAGTCCCCCCCCCCCCCGCAATTTTCTATTAACGGTGCCTTTGCCGTGTTCGCTTAGCGTATATTCTATAGTTCATGTGAAGTCATACCAACAAACGTACAACAGTAGTATTACCGCGTTACAGCTCTGCCTCAGTTCTGTGCCCATATCACTGAACAATATGTTTCCCCTCAGTGTCTAAGAATGTAAATCCACGTCTCCAGAAGTAGAAATTGCACCAGCATAAATTATCCATGACCTCATTTCTAAAACATAAACGCATCTGCCTTCGCTCTCCCAAACAATGCCAGCTTTCATTGCTCATTAGCGTGGGTTCTCCCACAAACACCTTTGGCACTGTTACCTCACTCCTTAGCCAAGGGAAAAACACCTAAAAATATTCCCATCCAGCTGTTGCTACAGCCCCTCAGGCTCTCCCTGCGATTCGCAGGCGGTGATGCTAACGTAACAGCTCGCTGGCTGGGGAAGCGGTGAGCTGAGCTGCACACAGGGCTAGTCATGCTCAGCACCTCATTCTGCCCGCGCTTCGGTGTTTTCCTCTTGCATCTTTACCTCACCTAAGCTGTAAGAGCTTGCAGTCATTGCTAGAGGGGACACAAACTGCACCAAGGTGGGCTTCACCCAATGTGAAGAGCTGCTGGCGTGGCAGCAGACGGGCGCCACGTCCCACATGGAGAGAGGCCACGATGCTGCCCGGGTCCATCACGTCCAAATCCAGCCCAGACTGACCTTAACACACGTTCCGAGTGCGACGATTAGCACCGCTGTCCACGCGGTATTAAAGGGATACGGTATTTGAATAACCGAACAAGTATACGTGTATTATAAAATACCTTTCCGTTCTACAGATAATTTTTTTACAAAAACTACAGGATTCAATGGCAGGTATACAATATAAAAGTATTTATTAACTTCATGAAACAGAATATGGCTTAAAAAAGAATGTTCTAGGGTCCCTGTTGAACTTTCTCTCTTTGCCCTAAGAAGGAGAATCAGTCTCTCACAGGAATTTGGGAAAAAAAATTAAAAAAAAAATTTAACCCCAATACAACCATCTTCTAGAAAGCTAAATGTGAAGTGAACTCTGGGCAACAGAAGTTGACAAGTGCATGCAAATAAAACCCCTGCCTCTACACACAAATAAAGAAAACACATAAAAAGTGGCAGAGATGATTTATCTCTATTATCAAAACTTCTAAAAACTTAAGTTTTTAAATAAAACATTTTCTGGGTGTAAATAGTACACTGCATAAAACACAGCTAAAGAATTTAAATGTATCCGTCATTTAAAGTCCCAGACCTAGCGTAATCTACTAATGTATTCTCCTGTGCATTCAAGAGCTGACCATATAGAACACTTCCAAAAAAACCACCTCTCAGCAGGAGGAAACATATATTTTTCCATCTTTTAATTTTTAGGGTTTTCAAAAATATTTAATTTTAGCAAAGCCATATTTCAAAAGCATATTCCAATGTCAGGCTTGAAGAAAAAATTCTGCCTCTGCCAAAATAATTTGCAAACTTTATTGGATTTTTAAAAGCCTGATTACAGGACAAAACATGCATTAAGCATTTTGCTAAAATTCCAAAAACATAATTGCAGAATGTCATTATATTCAAACGTCATGTCCATCATAAATAAAAAGCAGCATGGAATTTTTTAAGAGTTTTAGTATCTGAAAAAGGCATATGTTCTATATACTGTTCTTAAAACTCTGACATTACATTGCAATGGTTAAAGCAAGAAACAGCTCAACTGACACTACAGAAAATCCCGGTCTTCTCAGGAGGTCTACACTTGGTTATACAATACTGCTCTGGAAACAGCACTTCACCAAAGGTCTGGCAATTGGCTTCAGCTTAAAACATACTCTGCCTCATAACAGTCTTCAAAGGATTAAAACATAATTGATTCTGGCAGTACACATGGTCAGCATGATGTGCAGGGGGTTGCCAGTGGACATGGGGCCCTTACATAAAGGGCTGTTTTCTTTGTTTAAAATGGAAAAAAGAGTGGGAGGTGCAGAGAACAGCGAAACACAAAATGACTCAGAATCATGAAACATATTTTTTGAATCAGATTATTTCAACAACTGCATATGCAAATAGAAGGCTTCAAATGAGGACGGTGGCAGAGCTTCCGAATTGCTACGGCAATTCACAAATTTCCATAAAAAAAGATAGAAGCTATAGTTATATACATCCTTCTACGTATTCAGAGAATATTGCAAGTTGAATTCTGGATATCAGCCGTCGATATCAGTCTGAAAGTGACGGGGAACGGATTGATCGTGCACTGGCTGGACTGTTAGAGAAAGCAAAGGGATCCTTTTCCTTTTCTTTATTATCATGTTTGTGTTTATGCTTATGCTTATGCTTGTGTTTCTTCTTCTTTTTCTTGTGCTCATGGTGGTGATGGTGATGGTGATCACTATGCTTTGAGGAGTTTGATTCTTTACTAAACACAGAGAGGGGAGCTGCTGAGACAGGGTGCATGTTCATCTCTCCTGAAGATTGTTCTTTACCTAAAAGAATGGATATAGTGGGCTTAGTAAATGTTTAACTTGCATTGTTTTCGAATAGAAGAAATTCTGAAATATTAGATAGAACCTACATTATCATTTAAATAAGCAAACACAGAATCTGGTATGATACTTGTACCATTAGCTTTTTGCTTTTTTTCAGAAAAGTCTCTGAACACGCCATTAATGTTCCCATACCACCGACTATCTTTACAGCGGTATTTCTTCCTCCCTCAAAAGTATAAATATATCCCAGACAAGTAGGAATTGTGAAGAACTAAGAAACTGCAAGTTATACTAGCTTCCAGAAATTTTTCTTAAAAGAGTAGGAAGGCCACTATACCATGAACAATGAAAATATAACTGCTTATGAAAACTGTGATATAAAGTGCAGGACTGGCATACATTAAGGTGCAATTTTCGGATATGAACTTTTAGTCAGGAGCTAAAACTCCCCACAAGAACATACAAACCTTTTGATACAGAAGAATTACCTTTTTTTCCCCCAATAATTGCATTTTACAACCAATTCAGCCTATTTAAAAGATAAGTTTTGTTCTTAAACAAAAAGAAAATTCCAGCAAAGACAATTACACCATCTTTATTAGTTTATATTTCACAAATACACTAGAAGTACTTATATATTGAGTAAGCCTGGTATCTGAATTTGAGGCAGGAAAATCTGATCCATGACCTCTCAATTCCCGAAGGACCCTCTCATTCTCTCTTTGGCTCATTTAGTGTTTAATTGTTTCACACAAACTGCAATAGCTTCAGTCATAGAGATTAAAGGGCAGTAATCTAAGAATAACATTGTTAATGGGGGGAAACACTTGGAAGCTAGGAAGGCTCGAATTCCTCAAGGCAGAGTTGAATCAAATCACTCCAGTTGCAAGAATGCTCTTTAACTACTGGAGAAATACAGAAAAGCACCATCAGATTTTTGTAGGCAACTACTCCCTTAAGTTTTATTTTAAAAGTATTTTCTTCACAGGTGCTTTAAACGTTTGGGATTTTTACTTCCCCCTTCGGTTTCTGGTGAAAATATCCCTGTTAAATAACAAGGTATTATATACTTTGTAATTATCTTTTTCTGTATATTTGAAAATGGATTTTTTTTTCCAGTACATCTTTTTGGTTGTTTGGTTTTGTATCTTTAAGGGCAAGAATGATTTGTCTATGGTAATGATTCCTAGAAGTCTGAAGAGCCAGCTCCCTGTAGTATGACAAAGAAGCACCGAGAAAGATTTCCATGCAGCCTTTCTAGCCTTAGCCGAAAGATTAAGACCCGATTCAATCAAGCACATATATAGGAAAGTTTCTAGACACTACAGCTGTTACGGTTTTCGTTTGTTTTTAAATACGGCGGGAAAAAAACAAAATCTACATCTGTAAGCAGTGTTTAGAAGTCAGAATGGAAATACAAAACGTTTTTACAGTGAGGATAATTAACGACTTACTATGTGACATGGTGGAATCTCTATTACTTAGTCTTAAACAGCAAAGAAGTGACCTCTTTCTAAAAATATGTTTGGGCTCAACTGCAAGATGTGAACGTGATGCAATATAAAATTCTGCTGATGTTACAAAGGAGGCTAGACTAGAGTACAGTAGTTTCCTATAGACTTAAAATCTCTGATATGCAAGTATTTTAAAAACCTGTAATTTTTATTTCATCAGAACTATGCAGTAGTAAGCTCATGTTATCAACACAAAGATTTATTGTTAGAACTCACAATGACTTTACTTTTTTATGTACATTATAACAGATTGAAGATATGCACACAAACTCAAACTTCCACTTGCTGACTTCAATGCACAGTTACTACAACTTTTTTACATTGTTACCTGGAGCAGTTCTCGACAATGCAGACAGCATGCAAGTATACTGTATTTTATGCAAAAAGGTACAAGATTGCTTCACAGTTTAACTATTTCTAATTATATTTCTCTTAAGAAACTCCAACCTGTAACTAAACCTATCCCCGTAACTTGAGCTCATTCCTCTACGCTTTTAGACAAGCAAAAAAACTTTCTTTAGCAGCTGCAAGGATGCAAAACCATCCATTAAACAGAAGACAGAATGGTGGAAAAAGGAGCATATCTGACTCGGGCCATTAGAAATGGAATAATTGAAGGCTGTACTTCAGAAAACTGAAGCACACAGTATTTGACACCATTAAAATAGGCTACAGTAAAGGTGAACTGTAGCAGCAGCACACATACAGCTTCTAGTAACACAGAAATAAAGGTCATGGCAAAAAGCCTGAAGAAGACTGATCAGTGTTCATCCATAGAAGATATATAAAAGATTATCAAAGGTACAGAACATATTCTCACATGTTCTCAAGCTACAGGCACATGATGCATTAAAATATACAAGGCAAACTAAAGTCAACTTCAAAGAAAACACACGGCACAAACCCTTAAAACTTCATAGCTCCATTAGTTCCAAATTGTGAAGTTAATTTTTAGATGGAAATTGAACCTGTAAGTCTAGACTACATTTTTAACAACCTCAAACCAAAGCTAAGCCTCTGAGATTTAAAAATTTTAACCCAGTATAACTGGTATAAGGACATGGGCTTAAGTCCACAGGGATGATGTAGCCTTAGTGCCAGGTACCAGTGAAGACCCAAGGATGCAATCACACAGAACCTCTCGACGCTGTTGCGCTACCTGCCTGCCACTTGTGCAAACTTCCTGCTGTTTACTGAACTACCAGCTCTGCTAAGGCAACAGTCTGCATCACCATTTCTTCACTTAGTTCAGGTGGGTTATTAAAAATATGGCATAAATGTCAATGAACATGTCGTTACAAAAAAATCTACTTTTATTGAGCCAGTACTAAGAGTATATATACACTTTCTTCACAGAGGTCAATGATAGCTATAATCTGTTGTTTTTCCAAATGCAAAAATAAGAACTACCCAGAAAATTTCCTCCTACTGTTAAAGAATGCTTTGAAATCAGAAATCAAATATATTGATTCTGGACGATGGCTCAGAAAGGATGTACGCAGACTACTGAACTCAGTTGCCTGTAAAATGGACAGACCTGTAGAAGCTCTATAAAAAGTTTTACAGATTTGTATCTGTAAAATGGACCACTAAACTTGCAGAAGACTCTTTCTTCATTAATTTCTTTTTAATTAATATCTACTTAAAGCCCATGCCAGGAACCTGCCAAAGTAGGAAAGCAAGGCTAAATAGGAACTGCTTTACAGGGTATTAATATAGTCCTCGTATCAGGGGGGGTTGCAGGACT